AGATGTTTAGCGTCTTATCCGAGATTCGACTTTCATCCTCCCAATAAAAGCTAGATTAAAGACGACAAAAATTCGATGCCACTGGAGAGAATCTAAAGAAGAGATTTAGAGTTTAGAAAAGAGAACGTATGTATAAGGTGTCCAGCATCGTACATTTAACGTTGCTTTTTTCGCGAAAGCCATTGGCGGATGCAGATTGCGAGTGCTTTCGCGTCGAGTCGTAAGAAGTGTCACTCGAGACAGTGTAATGTGACAAATGATTGTTGAAACGAAAGCTTTCCAAGCTTTCCCATCTTGTGTGTTTCCGTCGTCACCGCCGTCGGTTCAGTTCATGGACAACGCTCAGCAATGTTAAACACTCGAGGAACGCCAATTTGTTCCTCCAGATAGTTGACGTAACGACGGGCAGGAACATTCGAGAAGTAGAGCGAATTAAGAAGCGGCAGTTTGTGTGTTCGCCGGCGAAACCTCCTTGTACGAGAAAGTCAATCGCATTATAGAACTATACGGAGCATCTTCTATTGTCTCCTAGCTATCTTTAACCGTGTCACCCGGTCGGATGACGTTAACGTCTACTTACTCTAAACTACGTCGTCAATCGAAAAAACGTGTAATATAAAAACAAAGCACGTAGAGTGTTTTAGATAGGTATATCGATTGGAAGTGACCCGCACTGTCCGTTTGTCAATTTCAGGACACGACTAACTGTAAAAATATCGGGGACATCCTAATCTCCTGTGAAACTTGTGGTGGCGGAGGTTACTGCAGGTGTCTCGCAACGCCGCGGGCCGTATTCCTCGCCAGCATGAATCTTTCATGAGGCCTCTGTCTCTCTTTCTTGGGGTACGTGGTATGCTCGCGGGGCCACATAGATGCACCTTCACTTTTGCCGAGCGGCGGCCAGCCGCCATGTCTTTCGAAAGGCTTGGCTGCATCGAGCCCTTCTTTGATATCGAGAGCCGTGCCTTTAGGCTCAGCCTGCAGACACGCTTGATACTCTCTTCTCACTGCATGATCGTACGTTAAATATTATCTTTTCACCAGAGATCGCACCGATTGTGACACATTGCACGAAAATTGCGCGAAAGCGATACTTGCTGAATTGTCTAGCTCTCTTTGCTTCAAGTGAGTGGTCGATCTCGTGGTTGTATCTAACACGCGCTTAATAATTTTCACTTTTATCTAATAAGTAAAAAGTATTTTACTTTCACTCCAATTGTTTCCGCTGATTCTCACCTGATTTTCCTTAGAATGGCTCATAAATAACGCACACCCGTCCGGTTTTCACTTTAATGATCTTATTGCGTTAACAATTAAGTAGCTTGAGAAAACTGCCGGGAGAGGACTGTCGAGAGTCTTATGTCGCCAGCAGAAGATGTCGACTGTTATCCATTTGTCAATCGGGCGCTGCCACACGGTAAGAAAGGTTTTATTGAAGTATCTAAAAATTTAGTTAGATACAGATCTTGAAATAATTTTGTTGAACTATCAAAATAATTATAAGCCGCTTAAGAGCTGATCGCTAAAATGTCAAAATTTTTTGCAGCATTACTCATGTTTAAATTTCCTACGTAATTATTTTGATGGTCACAAGATTGTCACAAAACTCAGAATCAGAAAAATTTCAGGGAAATTGAAAATGGTCAAGGAAATCGGGGAAAAATTAAAAAATTTTAAGAAAAGTGTAGCTTTGATCGTTATGACCATTATTTCTATTTCTTATTGTTGAATTTTCAAATGCATGGTCCAGTAAAGTTCTTATTGTTTAGAAAATTTTATATTTTTGGAAAAATAAAAATTCTTAGCTTTAAAGAAGTTTCATCTGCGTACATTACTCCTTTGTAGTTTTGGAATACTATAATATCAATGCAAGCAGTGTCCACGACATTAATAGTAATTTACATTGCTATGTTTAATTGTTCCGTAAAATATTCAACGGTTTTCAAATTAAGACAGAAATAAAAAAATTTATTAAATATTATTAAAAGTCAGGGAAAATAACGAAATTTTGTCTAAAAGTTAGGGAAAATGGAATTTTGGGATGAGGAATTCTACGCAACCCTGGTCCAACAACATTATTTTCAGATAGCTAGCTAAATTATTAGATGTCTTAGCAAAATCGTTCTTTCCATGTATAGATAAGTCTCCGCCATTTTTCGTAAAGATCATGAAGGAAACCGGTTGCGAAGACAATGCTCATACGTTTATGCGCCCGTCAGGGCTGTGCCCTCACCTCGCCGGAACATCCGCCCCCTCTGTCTCACGGTGTCTCTCACCTGTAATGCGGCCTTTACAGCCTCGCGGCTGTTAGCGAACGGTGAACAAGGCCGACCACTTTGCCGCATGTAACTTTTACTTATTTCTGCGCACTTACGTTTCACTCACGGCTGGACCATTAATCACCGGTGCACAACGTTGGGATACCGTTGCAATCGGGGAGCTTAACGACTAAGCGGAGGAGAAGCGATGTGCCGGAAAGCGCGACGGAAAGCTTCTGAATCTGATTACATCGTAATTCATACAAAACCGTCCGACACGAGCGTTTGTTGTCGAAGCTCTTTGCATTATTTTTTCTTCTTTCCCTTCGAGAGTGGAAAAGCGGACATTGAGACTTGGACGTCTCCTACTGACTATAAAACGTGATGATTTTTGTCCGCCGGTGAAAGCCGATGAAACAAGTGTGTCGCGGACTTGTCGGAGAAAAAGAAGAGAAGATACAAAAGCAGTGGAAATCCGATGCGTATTTCCAAAGAGTGAAAAAAGTGCGTTGCAATAAAAGCGTGTTGACAATAAAATATTGTATGTTTTGCTATTACGATCTATACACGACAAATAACAGCTGAATTCGCGCACCATAAACGTAGTTCGCTACGAGCAAAAACTGGAAACTGAGCGTTTTTTTTCCGTGAAAGAGGCCCGTGGGATATAGCTAGACAAACGTTGTTACAGATAGGAGACCGTGTTTGGTAGAAACCGGTCAGACTAGACCAAATGCGAGGATCGACCGAGCACTTTCCCGTTAACTACCTATCCGTTCCAGTTTTTTGCACTCATGTGATATCGCGTGTAATGCGTAACACTACAGCGCTGCTTTATTGCGTTTTAAAGCAATTATGAATCTCATTTATAGAGACAGTGTCGCTGGTCGACTTTCGTATTTGCGCTAAAATCAAGAAGGAGCCTGCCATTAATCTGAGCGTCACGCGCGTTATAGAGCGAGAGGCGAGAGATGATCCTGAATGGATTTCTCAGAAGCCACCTTCTCCGTTTCTCATTTATCGATTCGTGCCACTCGGCGATTCGGGCGAGAAAGATGAAAATAGAGTATCAATGCGATTTCTTTCTGACTTATAAATATTCTATGCTGTACCCGGATTTCCCATTACATAAACATCACTTTCAATTCCTCAATTTTTAATCAATACGCGAAATCATAACTTGTTACGATTACCTCCCTCCTTTCTCCTCCTACTCGGGGTTCTTTCATCGATTTCGGCGAATTGTCTCGGTTCGCGGATTCTTTAATGTGTAACTAAGGGGAAGCGATGCATGGAATAACTAAGGGCTAATGAATGCGGCGCATAAAACACGCGCGCGCGGTTTCACGCGTTGCTCACGCGTTACTCAGCCTCCCGCTTTCACATTGCGTAAAACATCATTCGATCCTCGACCATCAATGACATTAGCGATTTTTGCAGTTTGCAATTCTCTCTCTCTCTCTCTCTCTCTCTCTCTCTCTCTCTCTCTCTCTCTCTCTCTCTCTCTCTCTCTCTCTCATCCTAGCGACGGCTTTCGAAAACGGCTCTATACGGCCCGTTACGACAAAACCCACACTCGATCATTCCGAACGACGCCACCGATTTGCGGTGACACTCCTGTTTTCTCCTTTTCTTTCTCTCTTTTTCTCCCTCTTTTCTCTTTTTGATGTCGTTTAACCGCGACATTCGTGACACTGCAAACGTTTGCGAGAGATCTCTGGGAAAATATCTCACATTTATTTACACGTTACGAAAACGTAGTCGGAAATTAATCAGCACTATTTGAGTCTAGGGACGACATCGTCTTGTCATTTATAAAACTTTTTATTCTCTGAATTTACTAAAAAATGAGTAGAGTGAAATATATACTTTACAGAGTGAAGTATATACTCTATCGATACTGTACAGTCGTTCTGGCACGCTCTGTCAAGCTCTGTCTAGCAGAACCAAATAAGCAAAAGACCTATTGCACTATTTAGATTTATTTTGTACTAATTTGTGCTACAAAACATAATTTTATACCTTTAAAAGTTGGCGTTGTTAGCTTAATATCAAGCTAGCAGAATGTTCTGGCGGTTAGAAGTACTATATATTTTAATGTTCAGTGCTGCATATATTTCCATCTTTAGTTCTTAAGTATAGCTAATCCGCATAGATTTTGAATTTACTCCGAATTTATTCTGAATTTTGAAGTGAATGTTGCAAATGCAACACTCAACCCTAGAGGGGATTACGTGATATAAATAAAAGTACTAAATTAATTAATCGAATTATGTTTAAAGTAAAAAAGATTAAGAATAACGAATTGTAGAAATTTTGTCTTAAACGATTCTTGCCTGTTTCTATTAATGTAGTTTAATTTTAATTTCAGTTTAACTAACTCTTTAACATTTTCTAGTTCTAAGAATTTTCGAATTGCAACTCGAACTGTCAATTCATCAATGTTAACCACATACGATCAGTAATATTGTCAGTATTTGTTAATGCTGATAGTATTGACCGTGTAGAATCACCTTTAGATTCTTCAGCAAAATTGTTCTTTCAGGTGTAGAAAGGGTTATTAAGCGATTTTGTCGGTTGAGTTAACCGCCGATTAAGTTAATCGGAGTTTGACTAAAGTTACCTTCAGGGTTTATTTAACATTCTGATTATCTTGTTAATATAATGAATAATATTATACATTGTAGCGCGCGCGCGCGCTGCGAATCTACTTACATGTGAAAATTGGTTTCTCTTTTTCAGAAGCCAAAGTATTATTGAAAAGCCGTACTAACGATAGAGAGACCATAGAGGAGCTGGCCGAGTGAAAGAGAGGTGTTCGCCGTTAGAAGAAGTCTCTCGCAAAGAGGTGAAAGAGGAAAAAGGAAGCCGTAAGCACGATGGGTGAGAGACGTGGTACGAAGGCGTTGGAGCTTTGGTGCCGTCGGATAACCGACGGTTATCCAGGTGTAAACGTGCAAAACATGACCACCTCCTGGAGAGACGGGCTCGCCTTCTGCGCCATGATTCATCACTTTCGGCCGGACCTCATGTAAGTTTATATATAGCGAGTATGTAATCGCCGTTGTAACACGGTAAACATCTCGGAAAGATATCATATTACACAGATAACGATGCCAAATCATTTTGCCGTCGTTTATCGAATGAATGCTGCTCTCTCGAGCTGCAATATTCCGTGGGAACGATCAATTCCAATGGGCCGATCATGTGCACTCTTAGAAATGCGATTTAATCCACACATTGCTCGATTCTTGGCGCGACTTCAAATTGTCCTCGTTAAGCCGATTGTCTCATAAATTAAGTGAGAGAGAATTCTCAAATACTCCCGTCGTCCAATTCTCAAATACTTGCGTCCGTTTCATCTTAATTATGCGTAAATTAAGTAAAAGAGCTTGGACTCTCACGCGTCTCGTCGTCCGGCTCGATCATATCTCATCTTAATTATATGCAGTCGGTCGTTAATTCTCGAGAAGATTCTTTATTCGGCGCGCATATTTTGACACGATTATTTCATCTTGGTACTATTATAGATATTAGATGTTAAATGCAATAAGGTGTAACAAAAAAAAATTGAGGGAATCCACGGTATCTGTGCATTAATACTCGAGGAATTATTAAGATATCCGAGAATCTCTGGTGATCCCAAAGATGCAAAGAACTGGAGATTTCTGAAGCATCTCCGACAGATTGTCTCCTTCATAGTAATCCCAGGATTTCGCGTCGCCGGCGCTCGGCGACGAAGGAAGGTCCTTCTAAAAATAGAAGTTCAGTGAATTGACGATCGATAAAGCAACAGCAGTCTGCACCCATCACACGGAGGATATGCCCCGGTGTTTTATAAGTGATAACGGAATGCAGTCGGAATTGTGTCGCGTTATGCAATGTGAGATCGGCGACACTGTATTCCGTGATTTTCGCTTGGAATACATTCTATGTTCGACCGCTTAGTGTTTTCGAAACATTTTTCTTTAAATTACAGTCTGTCAACGATACGTTTTAACCCAGTTCCATATTGCATAACGTGGCCCAATGTATTACAGAATGTAACCTGCTTTCTTTACTGGTCAAAACGATACTAGAGCTGTCTGACACAATTTGCATTCCTTCACCGAATAATAAAGTTGATTTCAATTTACGGTTTTATTTTTTTAAATCGATAATAATAACTTCGAGGTGTTTGTTTTTTTTCCGCATATTCTTTTTGGCGGATAATCGATAAACTAGAGTAAAAAAACTGGACAACATCGCAAACGTCGCAGAGATTTGTCTTCAATTATTCATGAAAACTAACGACAACACCTCTAGTTTTCCTGGCGGCTGTCCAAATAAATATCTCTTGGTAGTCGAAAACATCTGATAATTATTGCAATCATTCAATACGTTAACGCGAGCGATAAACAGCGCGAGTACAGCAGAATACATTTGTACACGTTGCCAAAGAATTTTGCGAGGAAATAGTTCATGTAAATTGCGCGATTAATTTTTCAATAAGTTTAATAATTTCATAATTTACGTCTCGAAATGTGCAGGATAAACCGCAAAGTAATCTGTGGATTGGATCGTTGTCCGTCATATATCATGATAAGATGTGTCCTGTTACAGATTAAGTGGCGTTTTTAAGAGGAAACAAGAGAGCTCGACCTTCCTTTATCATCTATCTACAAAAAGCCTCTTCGTCCTGGTTTTTTATCGATTTTATTCTTTCCGATTTCTATCGAGGGTAGAATTAAATAAGTATTATCACAATTTGATAGACGCAATACACGTCTTTATCTGTTTCGATATTTATAATTGAATGAAGAATATCGTTTTTAAAAGTATATATAAATTTATACTTTCAAAGTGTATCCTTAAGAAAAGCAATGTCCTTTTTGTAGGGAGAGATGTTCGTTTGTATGAGAATTTCTCTTAGAATTTCTCTCCAATAGTCAAGGTCTCTCACGACGAAGGGAATTCGCTTTTTATCGTGGACGAAGGATCGTTGCGAAGCTATTCTTCATTTTTCCTCCTCTTATTGTCTCGGTCAGTCCAGCAAAATCTACTCGGACGTAACGGCGGAGGCAATAAAACGGCGAGAAGTTTTCTTTTATTACCTTTCGTTCTCGCGGTTGAAACGAAATTTTCTCCTTTTCTCGCTTCCTTCTTCGTCTTCTCATAGCGAACTTTGGAACTTTCAGAGTTACTTTAACTTTCGACAAAAGACAAAGAGATTTCGTGTCGCGATGCGCATAATGCTTCTTGATAGTTATTGTCGTAAGTAGATCTGCGTACAAAGCGATTGAAAATTAAGGAGATTGCTACTCGATTGACCTTTATTGTCGAGAAGCTGAATCGAAGAATCGGGTGAGAATAACCCGGAAGAGTATCACGTGAGAATATCTCGGCGATCTCCGACGAGAAGCACGGGTGAAAGTGAAACTGACAGGTGTGCCTAACCGATCGCAGAATAATCACGTGGCACAAGACCTTTGCGCCTTTGGTGAAATTCGTGAGGTTACGTTAATTCTGTAGATGCGCGCGTTAAAACGCGGAGCAAAAGGATAAGAGACGCGAGAATTTATGGTCATAACGTGGTGCTGTTGCGATTTGAACTTTCGCTCGCTCGCAGCATTGCGTTCAAAGACGATTAATGCCGTGATATGCAATTCTGCTATCTTTACGTTCTATTGGATATTATTCGTTCGGTTGCGCGATTACTCATCCGATGTGTAACGTTTTTCCATCTGTTCTTCGTTCTGCCCGTCGTAATTTCACGAAAGAGGTTTTGCGAGAGATATATGTAGGGTTATCACAAAATTGGAAATCAAGGAAATCAAAGAAGTGTTAGGCAAATTGAAAACGGAAAAACCTTGATAGAAATGTACGCAGTTTTCCTAGACCCTATCCAGTTACTATCCAATATTACTGTTCTCATTAGTTGTACCAATACTGAGTAGGAAATGGACAAGAACTTGATAGAGTTTTATTCTGTCCATTTCATGAGCAGTTGGCTTGCTTATTAATCAATTTAATATCCATTATTTGTTTTGTTTCTATTCAGTAAATGGATTCAAATTTTACGCAACTTTTGTATGCAGTAACTGCAAACAAAGAGTTACATCCTGATTGGGATCCTAAGTAGTTTTCCTTCTCAGTTACTAGACAGAAGTTAGTATAACCGTTTAGTAACTGCTCAAAAAATGCATGAAATTTCTACCAGGAAATTTTAGGTACAAAAATTTTCTGGAAAATAAAAATTCTTGACTTTAACGAAGTTTAATATATCGTATATCATATTTACGCAGTTTTGGAATATTATCAACTTAATAATTAAATGCAAGCAGTGTCATCACTCAGTAATATTAATAGTAATTAATGCTGCTATGTTAAATTGCTTTGTCAATATATTTAATGATTTCTAAATCAGAACGAAAATACAAAAAATTTCAAAATATTAAAAGCATCAGAGAAAATCATGTGTCTGAGGATGAGGTATTTGTGACAACCCTGATACGGCGATTAACGCCGAATGATGTGCGCACGTGGATGAAGTATCACCAATAAAGCCGAAAGACGAGTCAATTCGTGTGTCTTTTTTTGCGGCAGCGATAGGAAGAGATGAGGACGAGAGAGGAAGAGAATAAAAGGGGTGGGTGTGGCACCGATCTGGTGGAACTCTGACTCATCGTGACCTCGTCCCAGACGACCGCCCGTCGTCCATCAGATCCCGAATTTATCGCGAGTCAGGAGCTTACCGTAGAAAGTTATTGGAGAAGGAACATTGACGAAGATACGATGTTCCGTTGTATATAATCGACAGCATTCTCTCCATAGATACGACCGAGAGAAATGATCGCGCGAATGATTCTTGATGTATCTCCTAGAATTTCACGCTGTTTCGATTCTTAATAATCACGATGCAATTTCGCAATACTGGAATTTCTCACATATGCACAATGCGCGCTTGCGAAGAATGAGTGACGCGTCGATTTCACGCTCTAAATAAATCGTAACAAAAGTTTAAAATCCGCACGAGCTTTGCTATCAATCGGGCAACCGAACTCGAGCATCCGAACAGGTGCTCATCTTTCGACCTAGAATTTCAAGTATTACTTCAATCGCCGAGCAATATGCGGCCTATGCATATCGATTCATCTAAAAGTGGAACACTCATAGCCCGACGTATAGACAGTTGCGAAAAAAATTGGCATCAATGCGCCATAAAAAAAAGTAAATAGATTATAATTTTATAATCGGTTGTAAATTACAAAGGAAAAAAAATGTCCATCGAGATGAAAGTGTAATATTATATTTTTGAAATGAATTAGTTTTCTAGTTACGCGATTTTCCGAAGATACTTGAATTTTCTTTTGAAGACTTTCGATCCTGGGTCATCTCTTTGAATCCCTTTAAATATTATAGATCCCGAGATACTGAGAAAATTTTGTCGACAATGTTGCAATTTTATTTCGACACTACTGTTTTGCAGGTACAGCGTTAGCTTGGTAGTTATTATTATCAATCAGTCATTGGAGTCAGTCCCGAGACGGTAGAGTATAGCACCTATGCGGAAACAGTCAAACTTTTCTTAATATGGATTATTTCCGTTTAATCAAAATTTCATTACATTCTCATTTTCTTTCTTCATAAATAATGCATGTCTCAATGAATGGCCCGTCTTGGTAACCGAGTGACACGTGTGAGATGAATTACACATTCGTGGCACCTTTTCAGTCATGCGAAAATTTAACTCCGTTACGTTTCCGATGTAATGTGCTAGAAACGCCTACGTATTTCTGGTATATTTCGTTATGCAAAGTGTACTCCGATACTAAATGATAAAAAATAAAAGCGAACATCCAAATACCTATATCTTTAAGCTTTTGCTGTAAAGATCAACTAAGAGTTTCTTACAAAACATTACCAAACTGCTACATATCACCAAACTCCCACAAGAGTACTTTTAGTGCCACGAAGGATATCGAGTCGGTATTTTATTTCAGGCCGACTGCGCTGCAGCATATCGTTAGTTATGATGCCAATGGCAGCCACAATTTGATTACGTAAAGTCTCCGTATCAGACTAAAGATTCAGATCGAATTTGATCAAAGCAAAGTTTACTAAACTTAATATTGGTTTCCTTTCTTCTGATTGATTAATTTCAATCTCAATTTCAATTTCTGATTAAGGCATTTGATATCTTGGTGGAGGAAACTATGTTTTTGATAAACTTCTCAGAAGAAGATATTCAAGGGAATGATATCAATGGAATGAGAATCAAGGGAGAAAGCCTCTCGTACGACCCAAAACACAAACTTGAGTGCATATACTTAAAAAAAAGACTGAATTGTCGATCCGTATGGAATTGGCTCTCCATCTTATGAAAAAATTAACTTTCTATAGCTCATTCGATTGCTCATTGTTTGCACGTGTATGCACATTTCGAATTTTCGTTTGCACACTTCCGGTAAAAAAGTTATTTAAAAAAACAATTATAGGGGGCTAGCTCGCCAACCACGATCAAATTAGATTTAACTAGTCTTAACTGATGTAGATTTTCGTTTGCATATTTCGAAACAAGTCGATTTTTCGTTTGTACACCTGCAATTAAAAAGTTATTTAAAGAGTTTTTGCAATAACGTGAATCCAAATACGGTGAAGTTACGTTATCTTTTTTTTAATTAGTTGTTAAGAAGAAAATAACGTGACCTCAGCGTTTATCGTATCTGATAAACGGTGTTCCAAAAACTCCCTATTAAAACAATTAAAGTTTCGAGGACGGTCGACTCAGGTAGATAGGTTTGAATATAGTAACTTTTTAACTAAGAGTGTGCAAACGAAGAATCGATTAGTTTCGAAACGTTCAAACGAATACCTATCGATTCATGCCATTTTAAGTATAGTAACTGCGATTTGAATCTATCTATACCTGGATTGAACGTTCTCGAAACTTCAGTTATTAATAACTTTCTAACTAAATATGTGCAAACAAAAATTCGAAATGTGTGCAAACGATGAGCAATTGAATGAATCATAGGAAGTTAATTTTTTTAAAAGTTGAGGGGCCAACTTCACACGGGTATTGTTGTTTACATTATCTAATTTTGATAAGATAATATTAAAATTCTGAAGATTTATCGTATACACCCTGTACACATTTCGATATACAGCACTGCACTCCGACTTTAATAAATTAGAAAATCACAATCACATGTCACACAGAGAAATGTCAGAGTCGCTTGTAAAAATTATGAATGTTTGTTATTTCGAAATTGTATTCTTCGATATTCAACATCCGTTGCTCATTTTTATTTATTAAGAGTAACGGATTTCGCGCGACTGTTCTTTCTTTAAAGACCGGTCATATTTAACGTGTCGTTTACGAATCACATATTTAGCAGCGGTGGTTATTTATACTTGCTCCTAATGAAAAAAGCGATTCTCACCGTACCACGCCCACGAGTAATCAGCAGTCTGATTTATTCAACAAATCCTTTTTACACATTCGACGTTTTATCGAGTGGCCTTCGAAGGGAATAAATGTGCGCCGAAGTAACCGCTAGTGGAAGATTAATACTGTTTAACGAAAGATAAAAAACTTAGGTTGCTTTTTTGTTACAGCGACTTCAACAGCCTGAACAAGGACGATGTATACAGAAACAACGAGTTGGCTTTTAGAACGGCCGAGCAACATCTTGGAATTCCTGCACTCCTGGACGCCGAAGACATGGCGTCCTGCATGGTGCCCGATCGATTGTCCATTCTCACCTACCTCTCGCAATTTTACCAAACTTTCGGAGGTTAGTATCTCGTCGCGATGTTTCTTAGTGGAAAGCAAAGTTGACTTTATATGAAAGAAAGTAACGTTCGCATTTAGAATCGTCTCACAATCAAACGTCTTATTACGCGAACAGCAAACATTCTCTGGCTCTTGGAATGCGTTGAAAGATTTAATTAAATTCCTCGATTCGCTTGCTCTCGCCGTTACTGTATTAAATCCCCGAAATTGAAATAATTCAAGCAATCCTGACGTCGACGGCTGCATTTGCCAGCCTCATTTTCTTTTTCAAAAGATGCCTGACCCAAATAAGCACGTCGTGAATAGTCTGAAGAATACATGACGATTCTAATGCCAGTTTTTGTTTCCAATCTTGACTTGATATCGACCGCTCTTTTCATTGTTCTTCCGTAGACATCTCTATCTCTCTCGGATATAATCCCGTCGAAAAGTACACAGCTGAAGATTTTAAAGGCATGTTTTTTTTTATACTTGTCGGTCATCGCAGAGTCTCTTTTATTTAAAGCAAATTTTGCGAAAAGAAATTTTTATGCAAACTTAGTTTGCGTAATTCACTTTTCCTTCGTTGGGATTCGTTAAAGATCAATCTTTATATGATTTGTATTGAAACAACGAGAGAGCAAGTAAATTTGATTTACACGTATTAAAATTTTTCTCAGGCAAACGAGACTTCGCGGTCATGTCTCTAATATTATGACACTGCGATTCCGAGAAGCACGGACTGCGAAAAAAAGTGTTTTATCGGCACACACATCACGTTCGTTTTCAAGCTGAAATCAGGCGAGTCCGATCGACAGGCGTGACGTTCGAAACGTCGCAACGCATTAATGTCTCGCATGCTCGACACGATCGCACAGCCCGTTACTAAATGGGCCAAATAGGCCGCGCCGATCGGGCTCGTGTCAGCGATTGGTTTCTAGCTTTCTCCTCTTCGCGGACCGGCGTATCTCTCGCAATTGTCCCTTCTCGATTAATATCAATCGCGTGACGTCTGTCGCGGAAGTTGCGCTATACAAGCCGAGGTCGGTATCTGCTTTGACAAACGCGAAATGCGAAGCACAGATCATTTTGAAATTTCGAGTTAATTTTTCTTCTCGATCGTTTCACGACGCGAACGTGATATCTCGATGAAATTTCTTTCGTCCCGTTTATAAGTTCGGTACACAATAAATATATCGCAGTTCTAGATCTCTTCGCATTTCTCGCGTAAGCGACGCAGTGGCTGTCTTGCTTTTTAGCGAGGAAACTTCTGTCGATGTTTAATTCGTCGTTTTTATCAGTTCCCTAGTGGGCTCTTATCAGGAGGTCAATTAGTCGGCTGTCCGATTGCGAGACTACATGCTTTGAAAATTTGAGTAGCCACTTGTTGAGCCGCCGCAAGATTTGCATTCCTTTTTCCGCGGCTTTTTCACCGTTTTCATTTCGATCGGAAAATAATTGCCGCGCGGCATCGACGTTATCGTTTACAACCACTTGTTGAACGGACGTTATTACGTCGTCTGCGTTGTTACAAAATTTTCGTTCTCCTTTACAGCGACAAGCGCCAACGAGTTGTCTTAGAAATTACACATTTGATGAGTGCACTTGCCAAGCACAATATTTAATTTTTTCAACGTGTATCTAGATGTCGTTATACTTTATGCCGCAATTATTGGAAGTATTGAATTTTATTCTGTCCCACGCGAGAACAATGTTCATTTAACTCTTTATCATCAATGGGTTTAATAATAATAATAATAATAATAACTTTGTTGAATACAGTAACATGAAGAAAACTTTAAGGCGATTTTTTATTGTGAATTCTAATAGATTTAAATCTAAAAAATATATATATATATAAGTAAAATATACAGTTCAAGTTCTCTGATAGTAAAAGCTAGTTGTTAAAACGTTCACAAATACGTAAGAATTTTTTCAGATTTTATGTAATTCGGAGCAATGAAAAATTCTGCACTAAAGTCCGACGGTTGCGAATGAAAGGTGAAAAATTTCACATTGCCAACGTAGAATTAAAAATTTTTTAGAGCGAATTAACTAACCTTTAAGGAGGTTGTAAGGGCAAAAAACACATATAATAATATTTACGCTTTAAACAAACTACATACATGTGAAAATTGTGTTCATAACATTCTGTTTTTATTGAGCAACACGTTTTTATAGATTATTTATTTTATTTGTTATTAGTTTTATTGTTATAAACAAAAATTTTTTTTTAAATAACAAAAATCTAAATTTTTTTATATAGATATATTAAGTACTAAACATGACTTATGCAAAGTTTCATTGAAATTCACCAATTAGTTTATAACAAATAAATATCTTGTTTATTTACTGAACAATTAATGTCTGCATCTCAATGTAACTTTACATAAATATTTTTTAATTCATATAGTACTTATATAAAAAAAATTGAGATTTTTATCATTATTTTATAATACAGTTTCATATATTTCTATTAGAGTACAAATTTTTAAAATATTACTTTTTATGGAAATAACTTTTGATCCAGGTGGTCAACTGTCTCTATAATTTTTTTTGTATTACTTTTAAATGCAATTAGAATAATCTGTAATTTTTTCAAGTAATTCTTAACATATTGCATTTACCTTACAACCTCCTTAAAGAGTGGAGCTCAATTTTTTAAATTTTACTACAGTTTTTTTAAATAAGATTTGTTATAATTCGTTATTTCATTGTATTTCTTGCTTCAAAATATGACACTGTTTTAGCACCATTATAGTGGTTTTCCATGTAATAGTTAACGATTCGATTTTCTCGTGTCATTTATATTAAAGCGCCATTCTCGACATCTAAAACCGCTGAAACTTTTGAGAGCTAAACTTTAACGGTAAATTGGAAGAATATTTCATATATATTGCAATCCTTTTTCCTTACCGGTCTGCATCGAGAAGATTGACATGAATTATTCGATTTCCAGCTCCCGGCTTCGCGCTCGCTTTGAAACCCGGCGGCGTTTCGTTACGCAAAGTGTCGATGTTATAACGTGCCTCTCCGCGTCGTGATCTCTAATCTTTTCTCCACGATCCCTCTACTCCCTTCTGCAATCACGCAGTTGCGAGAATAGGGAAGCGCGCGATTTGCTGGGAATATCATTCGAGTATTGACGCTCTACGCGTCGCTAGAGATGAGATATCCGTGTGGTAATCTATTAAAAGTCCATCTTTTTCCCTCCAGCTCTTCTAATCTCGTGGAATTCCAGCCTCCCGCAGATTAACCGTACCGTTAACCTTTGAACGACGGTTAATCCTGATCGAGTAGGAAGATGATTCTTTCCTCAGTTGCACCGTAAATGCCCGCCCGGCTACGAATTAACGCGATCGTGAGGACCTATACCGTTCCTGAAATCACTACCTGCAACCTGAGGAAATTGCCACATTGCTCAGTAGTCGACGTCCTGTCCGCTTTATAGCTACATTAGATCGCACTCTCGCGGTCGGGATTAGACTCGGGCGCTTCTCTCGGGACGAATGATAGCGTTGGACATTTGTCTTGTGTTAGCACGGCGAGTAAGCGGAAGATGGAGGTACACTTATCGAATCTCGCTACTACAGAGGATACTTTCAACTACTCGTACTTACACAGCCGTCGCGCGCTCAGCGATATCGGGCCGCACCGTAATAAAACGAAAAAATAGAAACTGAGATAAATGAGCTTCCTCGAGCGAAGCCTTGGTTATTATAATCCATATTTCGCATTCCTGGTCGCTAACACGAGGAGGAAGAGACTACGCGGAAAAATGTCACGTGAATTTACACTTTGGATCACGCAAGTTGATCGACACCGGTGTAAATAAGCGATTTTATGCAAACGCGCCAGTTGGATAACTTTTCTTCGTACTGCCTTGTAAAAAAAGTCAATATTGTTATTCAGAACAGAAGCGTATTTCCGCTACCATTCGCCCTGGCTACAATAGCGATACTTCCAGCTCTCCGTTCATAAATATTCACCCTACGAAGGAAACTTCCAAGAGAGACATTCCATGAACCATGTCGACATTTCTTCGAGACAATTGAAACGAAATAGCTACCTTCGTACTAAATTTCTGGTTTAATAAAAGCAGCTTTGTATACTCTAATGTTGTTTCATAATTTTATCCATTTTTCCTAATGCAAGTTATTGATTTAATAATGAAATGAAACTACAATTAATTAAAGGGGATTGAAGAAAATGTGTTATATTTTATTGTAGGATCCTCACCCAGCCGTCTGGCGACGAACAGAACGACCGAAAGTGCCGACGATAGGATCGCCCCTGTTCCAGAATCTCCTAAACAAAAGGTACACATCATGATTATGATTGACAACACGATCAATCAATCGATCATTCGCTCGATCGAAGCAGACATGCTTTTTGTAACTTTCTCTTTGCCCGGCTCCCTTCAATGAACGTTATTTTATAATTTTATACATATAGTAATTTCATAACAATTACGAATTCAGACAGATGAGAATCAATCCAATTAAATAAGAGAAATTTTATATTCGGTGAAAGCGGATCTTAGTGCTTAAATATTTCTGTGTAAATTTATATACATCTGATTCTGCAAACAGCACGCCGAAGTCTTTTTCGGTCTTGAAACGCAATCATAAACAGAACCAGAGTAATAATATAATTAATATCACTTATTAAATTGATAAGCAATTTAATAATTTTTTGATGCTGCTAAGCATCTTCATAAGAATATTAATACTTAATTTGATGTTAGTGAAAATCTTAATTCTGCGAATAATTTATTTCGATAAATATTTCCTTAGTCGAGATTCGAACCCGGATCTCCCGTATTTTATGCGGGCGTCCTTACTATTCGATTACCGAGGTACAGGATTATTTGCAGAATCAGATATGCATATAAATTTACACAGAAATATTTAAGCACTAAAATCCACTTGGACTAAATATAGGATTTCTCTTATTTAAATAGTTTCATAAGTTTCGTTTGGAAGCTCCTCTCAAGCTTTTCCAGAGCGGAGAACCATCGTACCGCGTAACACGTTGAGTGATTTCCTCGTTAACTTACGCAATCGCGAGTCACTTTTATGTGAAAGCATTTACCATACGTACTTAAGCAGCTATTCTTGTAAATTGTTTTATCCTGTTGCGCGTTTATCTTGCACAAACGAATGTGTGATATCGTGAATTAATAGTGATCGGACTTTGTGAGCCACATGTTTACGCTTCAACGTCACTCAACGTGTTAATCGATTATTTTCTCTCCTCTCCTTTTCTTTAATTTTTTCTTCTCTCTCTCTAATCACGTATCGCTTATTCGTTGCGAGACCAGTCGACCCACTTTGCTGTTCATTTTCAGACGCGTTGTTCCGAAAGAATCAAATTCGAATTTTCCCCGTTGCTAGATCGCTGCTGAGAATCTCGAGAAAAATCCTCGAGCAATGGATCGCCCGTTCATGCGCGGTTTACCTTGACACCAGCGTCGTCCGCGTTGCAACAAACTAACAACAAATGCCATCGCCGTTGCGTTTGCGTAATCACGCGCGCATTATCGACACATGCGCGCGCGCGTTCCCCTTTTTTCATCCTTTATATATTTTTATATACTGGGTGATTCAGGAGGGAAGGTCAATATTCTAAGAAGTGATAGCATATTTTAAGCAAAAAATGTTCATACATTGAGAAAAAATTTATTAAATTTTAATACATATTTCTTTGGATAGTAGGTACTAAATAAACATTTACTTACAGGAAATAAATATTTGCTTAATAAGAAATGAAAGTTAAATTAATGATTTTTGTATCAAATAAATATATGTTTGCATTGAGTAAATATTTACTTAAAACTATTTAAATAAATATTTATTAAAATGTACTTTTTTCAATGTAGTTGAATCAATTGAAATTCTAATTGAAAATGGATGAATAAGAATTTTCTGGTAAAATCTATTAGAATTCTAGTCGAGATAATAATCAGAATTCTGATTGATATAAAAGCACCTCGAAACGATATGATCAACGTATGTCAATATTAGCAAATATCATACACATACATGACATACAATTATCCATATTGAATGTAATCAATATTTAACGAATGTGCAAAGTTGGCGTATACATTGATCATATCATCTGAAGACGCCTCAGAATCTTTTGGTCATCATTTTGAACCAGACATTTTTGTCAGTATATAAACATGTTCCATTCTAAACGGTTTCCAAGATAATTTGAATTTAACACGTAATATTGTCAATATTGCACGATACGATCCGGAGTTCTATACGCGTAAGAAAGCGTTAATAGTATTCTTCAACAGCAGCAGTATGTATAGTAGTACTACTATCACAGAAGCCATAAACATACATCATATTTGCATATTCAATATTTGTGAATATATGTGTCATTTTTAATAACATTTCTATACTTCGTCCAGGAAGAGAATATCCACGGACCAAACCTTATTGCGCAGATCGTGGATGGGATATTATCTCGAATGGAGTAAACAATGTTACAATAACACAATAGTTCACAGACGCAAACAGGGGCATTAGTTAAATTCAAATTATCTTAGAAATCGTTCGAAACAGGACTCATGTTTATATGAACATTTTAAACAGCTTTAAACGACCGATACTATCACCTACAAAATTGACCTTTTCTCGTCAATCACCCTATATATATATATATATATAAAATATATTTTCATGTATTATATATATATATTTATGTATATATACATTATATTCACCCTTTTTCCATTATCTCATTTGATGACCGGTCGAAGATGAGAACGTAGGCGGGAAGAATAGATCTGACGCTCGTCCACACGATCGCACACACGTAGTAACACACGCGCACCCTGCACGATCGACTATATTTTTGTGTCGACTGCATTTTAGGATCTATCAATTTTATGTGTCTGAGAAAATTGCACTGAACCAAAACTGTACGTAAATACAATAACAATATTCATTGAATTAATGAAAATTGGTCCAATGACTTCTCATAATGATTTAGAATATAAAACTATTACTAGAATTCATTGCAAGAATGAATATATAGTTGAATATATCAATGAATCCAGTTATTATATCAATGAATTAACTATATTAAGTCGGACATTAAGTCGAACATTGATTAACGATCATTCATTGGATCAAAAATGACCAAAATTTTCTTCAGTGTGATAACGTAATAGATGAACGTAGTGTTATGCAATACGGAACTATACGTGCTGTTTGCGCTTACGTAGATACTTTGCACTTTCGGTGGGTAGCGCCTTCTGCGAATGATTAATTGCGATCGCTCGTCGATGTTTCGAAATGTGTTAGTTTTCTATGTGCGAAACTTGTCCTCGTGCAATACGAAAGTTTGTAATGTCTATTTTATTTGTTCGTCTGTCGCTTCGAAACTTTTGTGCGGCACCTTTCTTTTTCAGGCTCTCGTGCGCGACGAAAGTCCCAAAGTCAGATCGTCGCGGTCTCGTTAACTGGTTCGCGAACTCTTCCGCTTAGAAAATGAGAAATACGCCGAAGGTCACGGAGTGAAGAAACGTGCGGTTGGCGTGCACGATATCTGTCCCGGGGATCCATTTAGCCGGTGATTTCGTGGCCAACCATGATCTCTTCTATCAGTCATGTCGGCCGCCTTCGTGATCCCGATTCCGAACTCTTCCTCGTACTTACTGTCCGCTATTGCTACCTAGGCCAATACGGACGATCGTCCTTAATAAGCAGTCGGGAGAACATTTGCATTCACCAACGGCAGCGAGTACACGAGAGAGGAGTATCGCGCGTCGGTGGATTTCGGTCGAGCGAATTGCGGGAAAACGGGACTGTAAGAAAAAGTCTAACTTTTGCGTTGTAGCTCTAATAACACTGATAGTTATCCACTCGTTTCCTCCTCCCCGAAACCCTTGCGTCCCGTACTCGCACGCAAGCAAACGTCGAGATAGTCGTGAGCAAGAAGTTACCGTTGTTCCGAAACGAGGCGTAGTTTGCTCGCGAATTTCTTCAAGGTCCCGTCGAAAACCGGCGGTATTCCCAACATTATTTCCGAGCAACGGTGAAGTCCGCGGAACGACGTGTCTCGGTAGGAGCCTATCAGGACTCTGGAAATGTTGCTTGAAGTAGAAGTCACACGAACGTAGGTCACATTCTGTTACGAAGTTGTGACAATTTCAATGACAAGACAGTGGGACTAGCGTTAAGCGAAGTTTGCGTGCCGACGAAAGCAATGTATTCAGCAGG